CTCAAGTAAGAGAGTCCCATCCTATTTTGGTCCCCGTGATCTTTGCCTGCTGTTCCAAGCAACCAACTTCCACTCTGCCACCCCCAAGGCCAAGCTCACCCCCTCCTTCCCACCCTCTTTATGATCTGTCCTGTGAAGGAAGTTTCAAATTTTGGTTTCACATCTCATCCAGAACTTACCCCTCACCTGCTGACTGGCCTAGCCAACCAGGTCCAGTGTTATTACTACCAAACCATTTGGCATCAAATAGGAACAGGTAATGGCAGAATTGTTCAGCAAGCTGGGCAGTACCTGAAGAAGTCATTCTGTCTGACCTCTTAATATTCTCTATATTACAGAGTCTGACCTTCATTTAGAGCTTTTGTTTTAGTTGTTGCAAAAGACCTTAAACAAGTTGAAACTCAGAACAGTGGTGCACTTTAATTTGATCATTGATGGAGAAGAATATTGTCCAGGAATAACCATATTGCAACCTTTCAAAAGAATGCTACAACCACATGTTTTGCAATTTACTACAATTTATAATTGTAAAATGCTCTATGTTTACCAGCTGTTTTGATCTGAATAACTGCTTTTTTTTTCTAACTTTGATCATATTTTGTTCCTTGGCATTAACCTCAGTTATTTACCTGCCTAGGCAGTCAGGTGAAGGGAAAACATCGACTACTTCTTAAAATTTAAGCTGGTCCTATTAGAAAGTAGTAAAGAAACCCATGATCACTTGTGATTGAAATATTCCCCATACAAATTGCTACTCCCTTGCTCTTACCCAAAACCCTAGAAATGTTTGTTTTTCTTCATTCATTCACAGGATGAGGCTGTCGCTGGCTAGGCAGCATTTATTGCCCATCCCTAATTGTCCAGAGGGCAGTTAAGAGTCAACCACATTACTGTGGGTCTGGAGTCACATGTAGGCCAGACCAGAAAAGTATGCCAGTTTCCTTTCCCTAAGGGACATGAGTGAACCAGATGGGTTTATCCAACAAGAGACAATGGATTCACAGTCATCATTAGATTCCTAATTCCAGATATTTATTGAATTCAAATTCCACCATCCTTATCCCCCTGTGTTTTATTGCCAATTTTCTCACTTTTTCATCATCTATTCTATCAAAATGCCTCACGATTTGGAAATCTCTATGGATCTCTTCTAAACCTTCTCCACCCTAAGGAGAACAATCTCAAAAACTACAGTTTCTAATCTCTGAATCATTCTAATAAACCCCTTTTGTACTCTGTCTAAGATCTTGACATTCTTCCTAAAGTCTGGTGCCTACAATTGGACATAAATCTCTAGCTGGCACCTAGCCAGTGATGTATAACGGTTCACCATAACTTCTTTAATTTTATACTCTGTACCTCTATTTACATAGCTAAGGATCCAACAGGTGGTTTGACAACCTTTTCAACCCGTCCTCCACCTTCAAAGATTTCTCACCAGAAATTGGAGTTCTCTCATTCCCACATCCTTTAAAATTACACGATTTAAACCATGTTACTTTTTCTTGCTTTCTTTCCAAAGTGCATAACTTCACACTTCTTTGCATTAAATTTCATCAGCCATGTGTCTACCCATTTTAACAGTCTGTTTGTATCTTCCTGAAGTCTGCTACTAACTTTCTCACATTGGCAAGTTTTATGTCATTTGCAAACTTTGAAATTATGCCTTGTTTACCAAAGTACCGGTCATTAACAGGTATCAAAAAGAACATTAGCCTTAACATAATTACTGCATATTCTTATCCAGGCTGCAAACTAACTGTTGACCACTATTATATCTTTCTGTTTTAGACAGTTCCGGGTGAGGTGAGAGTGACAGCCCTTGACATCAAGGCTGTATTCGACCATGTGTGGCATTAAGCACCCCTAGCAAAATTGGAATCAATGGGTATCGGGGGCAAACTCTACAGTGGTTGGAGTCATACATGACACATAGGAAGATGGTTGTATTTTTTGCAGGTCAGTCATCTCAGCTCCAAGATATCGCTGCCAGAGTTCCTCAGGGTGGTGTCCTAGGCCCAACCATCTTCAGCCGCTTCATCAATGACCTTCGCCAATGACTGCACAATGTTCAGCACTATTTGCCACTACTCAGATACTGAAGCATCCTCATCCCCCTGTGTTTTATTGCCAATTTTCTCAGATTTTCATCATCTATTCTATCAAAATGCCTCACAATTTGGAAATCTCTATTGATCTCTTCTGAACTTTCTCCACCCTAAGGAGAACAAACTCAGTCTATTTACAAAAACTACAGTCTCTAATCTCTGAATCATTCTAATAAACCCCTTTTGTACTCTGTCTAAGATCTTGACATGTTCAAGTACAACAAGATCTGGATAATATCCAGACTTGGGCTGACAAGCGTCAAGTAACACTCACACCACGCAAATGCCAGGCTATGACCACCACCAATAAGAGAAAATCTAACTATCACTCCTTGACATTCAATTGTGTTACTATCACTAAATTCCCCACTACCAACATCCTGGAGTTACCATTGACCAGAAACTTAACTGGATGTGTCACATAAACACAGCAGCTACAAGAGCACATCAGATGCTAGGAGTACTCTGGTGTGTAACTCACCTCCTGATTCCCCAAAGCCTGTCCATCATCTACAAGGCACAAGTCAGGAGTGTGATGGAATACTCCCTACTTGCCTGGATGAGTGCAGCTCCAACAACATTCAAGAAGCTTGTCACCCTCCAGGACAAAGCAGCCTGCTTGATTGGAACTCCATCCACAAACATCCACTCCCTCCACCACTGACACCCAGTAGCAGCAATATGTACTATCTACCAGATTCACAGCAGAAATTCACCAAAAATCCTCAGATAGCACATTCCATACCCATGACCACTTCCATCTAGAAGGACAAGGGCAGCAGACATATGGGAACACCACCACTTCAAGTTCCCCTCCAAGCCACTCACCATCCTGACTTGGAAATATATCACCGTTCCTTCACCATCGTTTCTTCAAACTCCCAGAATTCCCTCCCCAGTGGCATTGTGGGTGAACCCACAGTGGTCGGTCTGCGGCAGTTCAAGAAGGCAGCTCACCCACCACCTTCTCAAGAGCAACTAGGGAAGGGCCATAAATGCTGGCCAACAATGCCCACATCTTACAGTTGAATAAAAAATACAAAACATCACTGAACCTTTAGTCTCATAGGTCTCAATCTTGGTGTAAACCATATTGCACTTTATCAAACACCTTCCTCAAGTGCAAGGATGCAACATCAGCTGCATTACCTAAATGCGCAATCAGCCCCCAATGCCAAAACCACCCCCCAACTACATGCCATACCTCATTCCCAAGAACCAAGTCTAGCAGTGCCTCATCTCTTGTTAGACTGGACACATACTGCTGTAGAAAACTCTCCTGAATGCAGTTTAGGAACACTTGTCCTTTACTGCTCCCTACATTAATTTCTCATATATCAGCAGGGATAGTTTTAAAGTCCCCAATTATAATATAAAATTAAATAGGATGGTCACCAATAAACTTAAGAGAGTTAAGGAGAATTTACCCAGGCGGTAACTGGATGAGTAACTGGTACTAATGCACTTAAGCAGAAGCTAAGTCATTATATGAGTAAGGAAGGAATGGAAAGGAGAGCTTATGGAAGTTACATAGAACAGTATAGCACAGGAACAGACCCTTTGGCCCACCATGTTCACATCAACTATGATGCCATTTTAAACTAATCCCATGTTCCTGTATATGGTCTGTATCCCTCAATTGCCTGCCTGTTCATATGAATGAATGAATGAGTGTTTGAGATGAAGTAGAATTGGAGTAGTAGGGTAGTGGGTAGCATAAACATTGAAAGAGTAATTAGTAAAGCAAATGGATTCTTGGGCTTCATAAAATGAAATTGTTGCATACCAAAGCAGCAAAGTGACATTGTGCTTTTATAAAACTCTGGCTAGTCCAAATAGAGCACTATATCCAAGACAACAAGGTGTAGAGCTGGATGAACACAGCAGGCCAAGCAGCATCAGAGGATCTCAGATTCTCCAGCATCTGCAGTTCCTGCTATCTCTAGAGCACTATATCCAGTTCAGTTCATTGTTGCAAGAATCTCCAGATCCTAAAGTACAATGAACAAGGAGTTGCCAGAATGTGAAGATCACAACATTAAAGGAGACTATTTGTTCCATCAAGTATGCATTAGCTCTTTCGAAGGGCAATCTCAACTGGTTCCAATCTACTGCTCTTTCCCCATATCCCTGATCATTTTATCTTCTCAAGTATTAATCTAATTCCCTGTTTTGAACGGTTCCAGGAATCAAGAGTATAGATTAAGTTGGAGAGTAAGGGTTGTTCTCCTGGGAGCAAAAGATGTTTTCAGGAAATCTGACAGAAATGCACCAGCTTAACAAGGTGGACAAGGTCAGGCTGTTCTCATTCCTTGATGGTGCAAGGATTGGGGTGGGGGTAAGGAGGGATGGGGGATGTGAGTAAGAATGTTTTTACATATTGACTGAATGACCTGGAACTCACTGCCTACAAAGATGGTGGAAATAAGTGGATTAATTGTTTCAAAAGAAAATTGGATTGACATTTGTGAAGAATAAACCGGTAAAGGCCGCAAAAGTGAAAGCAGGACTCTGGGACTGAACTGACTGGATTGTTCAATGGAGAGTCGGTATGGATTTGATGTGCTATAATGGTGATGAAATTGACTCCACATTGCACATGAAATGTAAAACTCCTTATAGATTGAATTTGCATTGTTGGATTATGACATCTGCGATCTGGAATGTATTTCTAACAGCTGTGTGGTTTCAAAGAGGATCCCTTTTGTGAGATCATTACCCAAACCATACAGAATGTTTATTGTGGCATCATCTCCTTATCAACTGGGAGCTTGGCTCTTTGATCAAATTTGTTTTCTTTTATTTTTGTGACAGTACCCAGGCCATCTCAGCAGGATTCCGAGGGATACCAGGACAATGTGTTTCTTGGCTGGCATCTGACTGCTCACCATCATGAACATCGCCCATGAAGCACTGGCTAAAGAACTGTCGTGTCCCGTATGCCTGGAGCTGTTCACCCCACCTGTGCTCGAACTGCCCTGTGGCCACAACTACTGCAAACAATGCATCGAGGCAACCCTCTTCTCTCAGAACTGCACCCATGTGAACGGTCACTTCTTTTGCCCCATGTGTAGAAAAGTAGGAAAAGATTGTTGTTCTTAAATGATAATTAGAGCTTTGGGGTTCTGCCCCCTGTTGTTTCAAATTAAGTGTTGTCAGAAAAGCTTCTATTATCTAGTATATTTTAATATACATAATTAAACGATCGGGACTTAGCATCCAGGGTAGAAGTTCAAAGGTTACACAATACCTGGGGATATTGTAACCGGTGAGGAGGATACTGACAGTCTTCAGAATGACAGAGACAGATTGGTGAAATGGGCAGACATATGGTAGATGATGTTTAATGCAGAGGAGTGTTCATGATACATTTTGGAGAGATTAAGTACTAAAAGGCTGCAGGAACTAAAATGGTAAAATTGTAAAGGGGGCGGAGGCACAGAGACATCTCGGGGCTGTGCGTAAACAAATCATTGAAGGCAGCAGAACAAGCTGATAAAGCTGCTAAAAAACATACTGCAAAAGGCTGTAAAAGTTTATTCATTGAACGATCGCAAGATATGATGTGGAAGTGCCCGTGTTGGACTGGGGTGGACGAGGTCAGAGATCACACGACACCAGGTTACAGTCCTACAGGTCACAGGTTTATTTGAAAACACAAGCATTCAGAGCCTCATTCCTTCTTCAGGTGTTAGTGGCTCCAAAGACTTGTGTTTTCAAATAAACCTGCTGGACTATAGTCTGGTGACGTGTGGTTTCTGATCTCAAGATAGAGATCAACAGATTTTGAGATAATTACCACATCAAGGATATGGGGACAGCGCTGGAAAATGGCATCAAGGTAGATGATCAGCCATGGTCTAGGATGGTGGAACAGTCTTAATTGCCTGAATAGTTACTTCTTTTCCTATGTTCGGGTGGAATTCTTGACTTTGTAAAGAGTTGCCAAAAGTAAAGAGGTGTGTTCAATAAATCACAGGGTTTGGTCTCAGTTGGAGCCCAATTCTGGGCACTTCACTTTAGGATGTGAGTCAAGGGTGCAGAGGAGATTTGTGTAAAATGGTACTGAGGACCAAGGGCTTCGGTTATTTGGAAAGACAAGGCGATCTTAAACGATTCTTGTTCGAGTAGTTAAGCTTAAGGAGATCCTGTTGCAGCATTCAAAATGATTAAAGAGGGTTAGAAGCAAGACAAGTTTAAAATATTTTCTAAATAAACAGGAAAGATAAGGAGAATTTTAGTGAGTTGACAGATCTGGATTGCACTGCCAGAAAAGAGATTCAATGGAAAGGACAGGGAAAGAGACAATATAAAACAAAGAAAACAACTCCAAAGAAAGTGCAGGAGCAGAAGGACCTGGGTATAATCTGTGAATCAATCATTGAAAATCATTGGACTGTGTGACAGAGTATATAACAAAGTGCACAGTAGCCTAGGTTTTATTAATAGGGGCAAACAGCACATAAGCAAGGAAGTTATGATGAACTTATATAAAACACTAATTCAGCCCCAGCTGGAGTACTTTGTCCAGTTCTGGGCTCCACACTTTAGGAAAGATGTGAAAGCTTTGGAGGCACGTCCAATCAAGGTATTCAATATTATCAGAGATAATAGGAACTGCAGATGCTGGAGAATCTGAGATAACAAGGTATAGAGCTGGATGAACACAGCAGGTCAAGCAGCATCACAGGAGCAGGAAAGCTGACGCTTCGGGCCTAGATCCTTCTTCCATTTCTGAAGAAGGGTCTAGGCCCGAAGCGTCAGCTTTCCTGCTCCTCTGATGCTGCTTGACCTGCTGTATTCATCCAGCTCTACACTTGATTCAATATTATCAGCTGAGTTTAGGCATCTACCTCTCCTTTTATTTTCGGGAGGTGCTGGCTTCAGGAGCCAGTGCTGAAGTAACCTTGGAAAATTGCTGCTGTCGATCTAATATGTTTGTGTACATCTGTAATAGAGCACATAAAGCAGTGGGAGTGGAAAGTTAATCCGGCAGCTGGGCTTTCAATCAAGCAGACTGTTTCAGTCGACTGAACCATGAAACACACAAAGTAACACCATACTGCTTTAAGGCTAAAAGGCTTCATTTCTGAGCTTACAACATCAATTGGAGTTTAACTGTTGTCTGATGAAGATCGGTTTATGTATATGTTTTAACTGCTTCTCTTAAGCTGGAAGCATTTACAACAGAGATGACATGACTATGCTAAGGCACAAGGTACTTACATATGCACTTCTCTAAACATTGTCCTCTTCACAAAGTAACTTATTTTTAAAAAATCGCAGAACTCATTTGCAGGTAAAAGCTATTATCTATAAAGAAAATTATCATTCATGAACAAAAATTGTTTGTTCACTCCAGTCTGTCCCATTTTTTTCAGTCTCTACACATACATTACATACATAATCTTTAAAGTGATCAGTTCTTCTAAGGATACATATGCACATTGTTGGCTATTCACCTGGTACCTGTTTGTTGCTGGGGTAGTGTTCCTTCTCTAGGCAAATTTGTTCCCATGACAAGAGTTTGATCAGAGCAAGATGATTTAAATGGAGAGTTTTGGAGGAAATTTAGCATAGAGGGATTTCCCTGCAGACTGTTCAATTTCCTGGGCAATTCGTCAGAGCATGCTATGATGGGAACTCTGCAGGGTCCCTACGCTCAACTCCCACTTATGCTAGAATCACCACTATCTGGCCGTTGGAAAAAATGCCCCAATGCAGGGCTGACCTCCAGAGCAATTGAGATGTTGTTTCTCATCAAAACTGGAAGATTTCACACCCTACATCAGCATCCTCAACCTCCTTTGTGGAAATGCAGCTCTTGACGCCATGTCAATAATCTACACCTGCTTTCCTTGATTGTAGGTCATTTCCAAATGCTAACTTTGCGATAAAGCAACAATTTTTGCAGACACTTTGAAACAAACAGAACTGGTTTGAGAAAGATGCTCTGAAAGGACTTATGGTCAGACTTTACCATCACTCTGTGTCTCCCAAAGAGGTACTGATTCAAATTGTCACACGCAAAGAGAACAGACAATCTCTCTAAGAGGGTAGCATCATTCAGTTTGGATTAACTTCCTGGATGTAAATTCAACTAACTGTTCTCACTGTATTAGAAATGCTCCAAATCCTGTCTCACTGACTTCATGCTGCAAGGGGATTTCATCATTGACATCGTAACATCTCAGTCTAGGCACTTCACCAGGATGTTTAATTCCATTGAAAGCTGATTCTTGTCTGTGCCTCAATACGACTGCAGGTCTTTTAACAGTGAGATTATATTCAGATTCACACTCTGATGACAAATTACACAAGAACTTTGCAAAATAGTTCAGGAATCCAACAAATTGCTACACCCCTTTCATATCTGTATCTCTACTACAGGTCTCACCTAAATAGGATCAAGTAGGACATGATTTATGTACTTGACTTCAGAAATCTGTGCATGCGCATACTGATTAGGAGCAGGAGCAAGCCCTTCTGTCCCTTTAGGCTCCTCTGCCATTCAATAAGATCATGGCTGATCAGTGTTCTGAACTCCAGATTCCTGTCTGGCTCCAATAGCCTTTGATTGTCATGTCAGTCAAGAAACTATCTACCTCTGCCCTAAAGGAATTAAATTACTCTCCTTCCACCATTTTCTAGGGAAGAGAATTCCAAGACCTCCTAGACCTTACGACGTTCTTAGAGAAATAATTTCATCTCCATTTTAATTAGAACACACCTCATTTTTAAAATGTGTACCCACAAAGGCAAAAATCCTTTACCCTGTCAAGTCCTCTCAGGATCCTATATGTCTCAATAAGTTCAGTTGTTAGCTTTAAATCTAGATAGATAATTTTTTGTTAAGCAATAGTGTTACGCAGGGGGAATTGGTCAAATCCCTCTGATAATTAAACCAATACACAAAGTCCAATCTGTTATGATGGAAGTAGAGGTTTTCTAATAATTACCCCCAAAACACCCAGAGAACTTCGTCTTTCCCTTCGTAATCTGTTAAAAGAGTGTTTTAAAAGAAAGAAAATCCCTCATCTGCTTTATAAATAACAAGAAACAATTTATTTGTTTAACCCTAACAATGAACAAATTAAAAGAATTACTAACAAACCAAACAATTCCCCCCAGACTACTAACTACTCCCTAACTGAACTAAATTCTACTGGAATGCTGTTCAAATAGACGCAGGACCCGCCTTTATAAACCCAATAAATAAGACAACAATAAATTAAAACATAATCTCTCTAAATTCACACATACTGTCTTCTGGAACACTCTACCTTTTCTGATACTCCACAAATGCCTTTCTACCGCTGATTCTGCTGTCAGGGATGTTTTCTCTGTAATTTCTATTATGAAGACTCAAAGCTAAAAATGCCTTGGTAACTTTAATTAATTAGATGGTCCTTTCTCCGACAGCAAAAAAAAGTGTTGTTGTCTCTGGGCAGTTGGCTCTCTCGATTTTCCAAATGCTCTGTCTTTACATACCCACCAATGACACATCAATTTCTTATAATATGATTGGTTTCAGGTTAAATTCAATTGGCTTTGAATATCTAAGGGCTTGGGTTAAACTGATTGGCTAAATTTGAAAAGACTTGTTGTTCTTGGTAAAAATGCTGCTTGGCTGTTCGATACAAAATGTTTCAATTTGGGCATTCTCTGTGCACATTACTTGTAAACTTCTAAGCACAGACAAAGCAAAATCTCTTAAATGGACCAGGCATTCTTTTCCCCCATTATCTCTTTTTTTACCAACCATTCTAATATCCTGCCTTCCAATTCATGAATACTCTACCCAACTTTGTAACAATAGGATTAAGGGATATGGGCCAAAGGCAGGTAAATGGAGTTAGGCCACAAATCAGCCCCTATTTCATTAATAGGTGGAACAGGCTCAAGGGGGTGAATGGCCTACTCCTGTTTCTATGTTCCTAAGATAATCTCTTATTCTTCTAAATGTTTGTGAATACAAGCCCATAATGAACATGGGCCCTTTATTCACAACATATCTGCTCAGTCTCAGATATCATTAAGTGGTTGAGTTGTGTGAACCTCCTCTGAACCACATTTAT